AAAGAAGCCAAGGTGGAGTTCAGACACCTGAATGTGAAGCTGCAAATGCCAAGGGAAGAAACACTTCTCACTCAGATGGGGAGAGGTGTCCAGGCCCCAGAATAAATTTAAATTCTGGGAAGAGTTCCTCAATTCTGAGCTGTGGTTGTTGAAGTAAGTTCCAGGGTCCAAGACTGTGAAGTCAGGTTTGTGCTGCCATAATACCAGGAACACTGTTCCTAATGACTGCAGTGTAAGCACCACTCAAACATGCACCTTTTTATATTTTATATTTTGAGTTAGGACACAGCTTTTCATCAGTTCACTCACATTTTTCAGTAAAACATTCTCTCCAGTAAACATGATACACCTCATTTTAAACAGCATTTATACACACATTTTATGTTGGTAGAAAATGTTCTGAGGCAGCAGTTCATCATGAGATCAGGTGAAAACCACCAAGAAGTGGATTTTAAAAAGGTTTTCTTGTGCAGTCAGTTAAAATTCATCCTGCTCGCTGCGCTCACGGGAGGAGACCCAGCGGGACACGATCAGCTCCTGCAATAAACCCTGCAATCAGGAGGGAAAACCCCAAAAGCTGCAGGAAATCAGTGAGGGATGGGGACAGGTCTGTAAAACTGATTATGTGCATTTTGTGGCCACTGAGGTGTTTCAGTGGATGACTCTGTTTGCTCCTGAAGAGAGCTGAGCTCTCACATTTTTCCCCTTTTATTTCTGACCTTACCTCAGCCCTGCCATCTCCACAGGGTTTTAGGAATCCCTAAATGTTTACATGCACTGTAATCAGCAGGAGATGTTCAGCTCACAGAGACCCTGCAAAGCACTTTGCATGACTTGGGGCATGAAGGAATTTGATTTTATGTGCCAAACCCAGCTCAAGGCAAAGAAGGAGGCCCAGCACTCCCAGGGAGCTGTGACAAAGCAGGGAGCACTCACCTGAACCTTGATTCTCTTCATGCACTCTGGGCTTGCCATCTCCTCTGCTGTCATGTCAGAAGGTCTGATCAAGTAGCACAGCATGAGCTCCTGTGGGCAGCAGCAAACACAGAATTTCAGGGCATTATGGAGGCACTGTGGGGCTCACACTGACAATCTCAGGGGAATCCCACTCTCACTGCTCAAAGGGAAATCAAGGGCTTTAAAAACAGAAGTGGCAATCAGGAAACAAAGGTCCTCAGGTCTTGCTGCTCCTCACACAACTTCTAACATTCCTACAAATGGCAGAACTTCCATAATTATTATTTAACAACAATTCTTCCAGGATTCACCTGGAAACTTCTCTCCCACTGGCAGCTCAACATATTGCTCAGCAGGAGGATTCTCTTGCCAGCCTCAGTCAGGTCCCTGCCCTTTGGAGCCAAACTTTACCATGCCAAAGCTGGTGTTACCCCAGAGCTTGTACCTTGGAAGCATTGGCATTTGTTCTGTTCAGCCCAGACAGCGACATCCAGCTGAGGGGTCTGCGAAGGGAACCTTCAAAATTATCATCCACCAACTCAGCAATGACAGAGTAACTGCAAAACACAGCAGGCAGGAAAAGTCAGAAAGGAAACTGGCATTTTCTGAGGACAACTCAAGAACCAGGGGCTAAAAATTGCCATTAAACAATCTGCCAGTTTGCAAGCTGTGAAACTGAGTCTTTCTAAAAGGAAAACAGGAGAAATACTGAAGTTGTGCATGTGCCCAGTGGTGCATTCCCTCCCACCCTCCTGATGTTTGTAGCATTCTCTTTGTTAATGCCAAGTTGACATTTATAACCAATTTATTATCTAGCAGTTCAACCTGCTAGCCAACAAATAAAGACAATTATCATCCCTTAAAAGTTCTCCTAAATTACCCAGACCATGTATTTTTCTAAGTCAGTATTACAAAATCCAATTATTTTCCTGAGTCCATCATCATCTGAGTAATGAATCCACTGCAGCTTGGGATATTGAATGAATTATTTATATTTAAAGAAATGGTGTCATTCAGCTCCTCTGCTGAAAGGATTTTCACATTCCCAGTGTGAACACAATGTGTTGTGAGTGATGAGTATGTGCTGAACCAGCGAAGATGCTAAACTGGAGTGAGTGAAATTTAAGTGAAGGAAATGAGGCAGAAACAGGAGTGTCCAACCTGGCGTGGTAGAATGGGGGCCCTTTCCGATACAGCACTGAAACGAAACAGAAACACCTCAGTCACATCAGAGTTACAATGGGTTTAACACCAGGGCCATCAAAATTGTCAAATGTTCTGTAAATTTTAATTACATGAGAAAAAAACCTCAACTCTTGTGAATTCTGCTCAGAGTTAGGTTGTCCCAGCAAGTGGAGAGAGGGAGGAGCAGCAGAGTGACTCAGGGCAGGGCAGGCCAAAGGCAAGGCTGAAGAACCAAAGGAATTGGCAATGGTAGGAGAGAGTTTAGGATGGGATTTCTTGGCAGGGATGGTGAATTCAGCCAGAGCTACACCCTGACCTCAAGGATTTGCTCAGCACCCCCCAAGCTGTGTCACCACTTCAGCAGCACTGAATCACCTGCAGGGTTACTCACATCCAGAAACACCCGACTTCAATGCATGTTCTGTAATCACATTCTGTTGACAGGAGCCAAATGGAGCTCCTGGGTTCCTCAGCAAGGACACCACTAATTACTTCTGGAATATTAAACCCCCAACCAATAACAGAACAAAGCCCAGTCCCTTCTCTAGCTCCCCCAAACCCCACACAAACAAACAGTCCTGGCAGTGAGTTCAGCAGTTCAGCTGCTCTGAGCTGGGTGAATGAGGTGCATGAACTTCAGTGTGGATTGGGATCTGGGCTCAAACCTGTTATGTTAACACTGCAGGAGATGTCTTTAGGAGAGGACAGAGGAAGTTGGGAAGGGAATTTCAGTGCAATCCTGTAGGAGTTATGAACCTCATGAAGCAAACCAGGCCTTCCAAGGTGTCCCTTCACCTCCTGGATATGGGATGTTCCTTTCCACCCACATCCCAACTTCACTGCTAACCCAAATGCCCTCTGCCAATGCAGGCAGCAAAGGCTGCTCCATGCAGTGCTGCAGCTCCTCACTGAGCTCCCTCTGCAGTTCTGCCTTGCCTGGAGGAGGGGTGGCCAGGAAATGACCCCATTTTTGGGGAGGCACTCACACAGGTCCGTGCCATACTTCAGCCCCACCTTGGGCACCCAGCCCTTGCCCCTGAAGTAGTGGTAGGCCATGTAGGTGGTTTTGAAATCAGGCTTCACCTCACTGAACACTTCCCACAGCTTCACGATGCTCAGGGGCTCCTGCAAAGCACACAGCAAGGTCACTGCACTGAGAGAAACCAGCCATGCCCTGCTGCACAAATGCAGGACAAATACCAAATTCCACAGCACCAAATACCAAATGGCACAGCCACAGAGCAGTGAAACAAGCCCTGGATTCAAGGCAGGCCTTGCTGCTCCACTCAGTGGCTCTTTTAGGCAGCTCACAATCATTCCCATAACACCCCTGTTGAAGGAAAGGGTGATAAATCTTTAACCAAAAGCACAAGTTTGAATTATTATTGTATAACAGCTTGATAGAATTAATGCTTAAAACTCCAAGGAATTTTGCCATCTCAGGTGTGATTATTTACCATACTATTTCTCCTGTATTTCCTGCCTAAGTTACAACAAAAATCCTTTCTCTGCACACAGACAGTGCTTAATTATATAGGTCTTGGTAAACTCAAAGCTTTCAGAGCTGTATTCCCTAAACAGAAATACCATTAGTTGTAAGAAAACCTTCCCAATCCCTGTGTTTGGTATTTCCTCCTCCAGAATTACCAGCACAAATCACTGCCACAAGGTGAAGATTCAGACCAAACCATATCCAGAGAAAAGGATCCCAAGTAATCCCAAATGAATCCAACCTCTTACCTCACCATAATAAATACTTAAACATCCCAGAGCATACACCAAGAAAAAAGCCTGAAAAAACAAACAGAGGCAGTTTAAGTGACAGCTACATTCCTCCTGCAGTTTATACACAAAACCTTGAAAGAACAAAGGCTTCATTCATTAATTTCCTACAATGTCATTAAATATAATGAGAAGCAGCAGAATTGAAAGAGGATTCATACAAATGTTGTATTCCAGTCCTGTCACAGGTCTCTGTGTCAGTGCCATTACTCACCTAAAGCAAACAGGACTGGACTCCATTTTTTAACCATCTCATGTAATTAGCACAGCATATTAAAGCCAAGTTTAATGACTAAGACAATGCAGGTCCTTAGGAGACATAGGGCTCTGTATTTTAGAAACATATTTTAAATGACAGTGTGACACAGATTAAGGTTTACTTTTACAGATGAAATGCAAACTCACTTGCACTGTGTTTGACACATACCTCTTCCAAGCTGAGTTGTAAGTACTCAAAAATCCTAAATGGGTTTTTTCTGCATACTAATACTTCCTTCTTGACAAGCTACAAGAAAAATTGACTATTATTAAAATGCTGAACTGGAAAAAATACTGAATTCTGAAAGTAGCTTTGTCTAAAAGATTAGATCTTTTTTCTTACATTCTCTTGTGCATGAGTGGAGTCATCTTCAGGACAGGAGCTGCCTTCCTCCTCCTCTTGCACCAGCACATATTCTGGAGCACATTCCCTTGAGTCCATCCCCTGCCAAGCCCTCTGCTCAGGGCTCTGCTTCCCCTCAGCAGGGTCCCTGTGGCAGGAGCCCTCAGCCATTTCCCTGGGGTGCTCCTGGGCCCTGGAGGCTCTCCCAGGATCTCCTCCCTCCTGGGAGTGCTGGCTGTGACTCTCAGGGCTTTGGGTTCCCTCCCTGCCACATTTCCTGCCCAGTTCTGCATTTCCTGTGCTCCCTGTGGTGCAGCTGTGCCCAGCCTGTCCATCCCCATCCCCTGTGCAGTAGGGCAGCCCCAGGGGCTGGGTGTAGCTCTCCAGGATCCTGCTGATGGAGCAGCTGTCCAGGCCCTGCTCCTGCAGCACACTCCGAGCCCACTGCACGCGCCGCTGGTACCTGGGGACACAAAATGAGGAACTGCAGCACTGATCCCATGAAAGCCTTAAGGCTGAATTCCCCACAAATCTGGAATTGGAATTGCAGGATTGAAACGTGGAACAAGAGCCCTCCCACTTCAGCTTTTACACAGCCAAGGACTGAGAGCAGGAGCTGCAAAATTCTGCTGTAACTGCCCTGGAAACCCTTTGGAACTAAACCCCTCAGTTTGAACACAGAAATGGGGAATTGCAGGGATTTAGCCTTTATTAACACTGCCAACCCCACAAGGCTCAGCACAGTGCACAAACACCCCCAGCAGCTGTGGGCTCCAGTTTTTCAGGAAGCCTCATGAGCACCAAGTGCTGGGCAGGCTCAAGGAGCAGCAGCTTCACTGGAGAAAATCCCTTCTCCCATGAAAGCCTTAAGGCTGAATTCCCCACAAATTTGGAACTGGAATTGCAGGATTGAAACATGCAACAAGAGCCCTCCCACTTCAGCTTTTACACAAGGATTGAGAGCAGGAGCTGCAAAATTCTGCTGTAACTGTCCTGGAAACAGCAATGGCACTGCAGGAACACCATCCTCCAGCAGGAATCACCCTGTGGAACTAAACCCCTCAGTTTGAACACAGAAATGGGGAATTGCAGGGATTGAGCCTTTATTAACACTGCAAACCCCACAAGGCTCAGCACAGTGCACAAACACCCCCAGCAGCTGTGGGCACAAATGGGGCTCCAGTTTTTTAGGGAGCCTCACGAGCACCAAGTGCTGGGCAGGTTCAAGGAGCAGCAGCTTCACCAGGCACAAAGTCCCTTCTCCCATGAAAGCCTTAGGGCAGAATTCCCCACAAATTTGGAATTGGAATTGCAGAATTGAAACGTGGAACAAGAGCCCTCCCACTTCAGCTTTTACACAAGGATTGAGAGCAGGAGCTGCAAACTCTGCTGTAAATGTCCTGGAAACAGCAATGGCACAGCAGGAACAGCAGTGAAAAATTCTCCAGCAGAAATCACCCTTTGGAACCAAACCCCTCAGTTATATCCCTCAGAAACTACAAAAACCCCACCACTGACACATTTACAACTTTCAGCTACTACTTCTAATAGTTTTCAATCATGACAGAGTTTTTAGTGCCTTTTCTCTTAGAAAATAACATTAATTAACAATCAATAACATTTAATGTTATTAAAATAACATGAAGGCAGTTGAAACAGGACTCTTCTCTCTGTGAAGGTGAAAATCTTGTACAGCATTTTTATTTCCCTGAACAAAATCCTCAGGCAGCAATTTCAGCCCAGGTAACAAGGGCATTAAATGCAAATTCCATGTGTCAACACAACCAAAAGTGCCCCTGCAGGCTCCTGATAAAGCTGGATAATTCAGGGCTCTGCTCTTTGTTATATAAAGGACACTCCTCTCTGTCTTATTATTTAATTACCATTTCATTTGCACTTGCAGAGCATTTTGTGCACCAATAAAATCACACTTTTATTGATGCTCAGCCTCTGCAAGCAGCACTAGCTGTAGCAGCATTAGCAGTAAGATGGTTACTGTTTTTCTTACCTAAAACTGAGAGCAAAATTTTCAAATTTCAGTGAAGTTTTTAAGTTATCATAAGATTAAAACCAACTGAGTACCTCACCTGCACATGCTTAACAGTTTACACACTATTTAAGCAGAACAAAAATAAATATGTGGTCCAACACTAAGTTCTGCTAAGTGCACAAACTACCAATGTTAGCTGAGATTTAAAAAAAGGTAAAATATCAAAGTATTGTAAAAGTTCAAGAGAAAAACCCAATATGGATATAGAAGAGATATTTTAAATAGCCTGCCCCAGAAATTTCTTTTCCTGCTCCTCACCTGAAGAACGTTTATTATGCCTGTAATTGTTATTAATAAATTGTAATTGTTATTAATTAATTACCCATTCTGTGCATGCACTGAGCTTTGGCTGCTATTCAGCAAGCAACACCTACAAGCCTGCATGAAAAACCACCCTGAGGATCATCCCTACCTTATTTCTATTTCTTCTAAAGTGATTTATAAATGAAATAATGAGAAAAGAAATGGAAGCAAGTTACTGGCTTAATTCATACAGCAAACAACCTGAAATATAAATATAAACCACAACAATCTGTTTCCTAAAAACACCAAGAAAAACGCAAATTCACTTACTTTTGAGCTGTAATAATGGGCATGTTTGTGTTAACACCTGTGTAAAGAAAAAACCATACATTGTTTCATCAACAGAAAATGGTTTTGTGTGATTTTGGTCACTGGGTGATCTGCACTTGGGAACTGTCCCCATTTTCAGTCCTCAAAGCCATTTTGATGCCATTTTTCAGGCAGGAAGCAGAACCAGGAAAGTGTTGTTTTGGTTTTTAAAGATTTTTTAGCTTTCTGATGTTGACATTCTTGTAGCGAACTTTCTCACACACTTTCTGTAAATAACTCATTGTTTTGCACTCTTTTATGGAGGAGGAGACAGTTGATGGGCTGTTGGTTTGTGCAGTGTCATTGGAGAGGTGGCACTGTCACCCTCCAATCCACTGCCACTTTTGGAAATCTATAAATGTTGGAGTCAGAATTAAACTTCCCTTTTCCTTCACCTTGAAAACATCAGTGTGTGTTTGTGTTTTTTGTGTACCATAGTGACAGAAAGGTACAAATGTCACAGCCTGCACAGAGGAGAACTAAATACACTTTTTACTCCAGACAGTTATGGAGGGACAGGGTAAAATCCAGTGATGGCCCCTGGGACTGCACTGCCATGGCAGAGGTGAGTACAAAATGAGTTTTTACATAACTGGCCAAGAGCAGGCTGGGTGTGACTGAAACCTTCACCAATCCTTCCCTCATCATTGCAGGGACACCAAAAGCTGCAGATTAAACCCAAGGAAAATAAGGGGGGAAAAAAGCCCCAGAGTGATCCCTTTACTTCAGCCTAAGGAATTATCCACATGGATTCCAACTCCTGGATTTTTCCTAGGCATGAGAGAGAGACAGATATCCTTCACCTGATCCAATCCAGCAGATTATCCTGTGTGTAATTCATAAAAATCTACCTTCAGTGGGTGAGGAAAGGTGAGGAGAGCTCCCAGAGCAGTGCTGGGCTCCAAAGAGCCCTCATTTACCTCTCCACTTGGCCTCCAGCTGAGGATCTGAAATGCTGAACACGGGGCGGCTCCTGGAGAGGATCCCTTTGCCAAAATAGCCCTGCAAGGACAGAGAACCCCAAATCACCTCATGGCACACACATCAACTTCTTCCCACTTATAAATTGTGCAATGGTGACACCAGCTGGAGCAAACAGCTCAACTCCTGCAGCATGTCAGCCCTGCCTCAAGCTTCTTTAGCTGCTGGTTCACTATTAAACCTGATTTAAACAAGTGGTTAAATCCCATTTAGCCTGGAGAGTGTTGGGTCTTTTCCCTGAACTCTAAATATCTAAAACCTCCCAGGAAATGTTTGAAAACAACACCTGAAACCAAGGAGATAGCAGAGCATTAGAATGGTACTCAAAAACAAAAAACTGAGCACAGCTTGTTTCACACAGGAATAAATCACTCTAAGTTAAAAGAATTATACAAGCACTTATAAAACATTAATAAAGCTTTAAAAACAAGAAAATGGTTTGAAATGTTGAAAGGAGACATAAACATGAAGGCTTTGCAGCTGTTTCTTAGATCACAATGTCAATTCATTCCAACATTTATTTCCTTGGATAAGAAACTTTTCACATTTGATACAGAATATAATTTTTTTTGCAGTGATTTCAGGAGAGAAAGGAAATATGGAGAATCACAGGTGGCTGAAAGAGCAGATAAGATAAAGGCAGCAGATTTGAACCAGTATTATATTTTACCTGCATTTAAAACATTACAAATACTGTGCAAACAGGGTGCAGCACCTTGTTGTAGAGCTGTTCAATATCCTCGGGGTTCCTCACAATCACATTGTTGTTGATGATCTCAGCCTGGCAGAGTCTGAAATCCTTCCCCCCCACATCCACAGGAAAGGCAGCCTTGTAGGACTCGAAAACTCTTCTTTTCCTTTTTGGGGGGTGAAAAACTGCTTCTGCCATGTCTTACTTTATCCTCCTAAGGAGTGGAAAGGAAAGATTTAACACCTGGGAATTAAAGTTCGCCCATTTATTTTTGTATTTCAGCAAGACCCCTCCTACAGCAGCACATTCTCAGTGGATGCTGCAGGGTAACACAGGTTTAATTCTGCAATTCTGTCACCAAACAAACAGGCAGGGATGTGCTGGAGATCTCGGATCTGCCTCTGGAGCATCCTCAGCACATCGGACAGGGCTGCTCCTCCGCCCA